CCAACTTTAACAGTTGCTTTAGCAACTTTAAGAGCCAATAATTCAGCCAATGACTAAATTGATATACTGAAACGATGATTTTAAATGGAACTAGCTCATCTCCGCTAAATTTAGACCTCAACTTATGACCTTAATGATCACTTTTCCTAAAACTTGCACCAGACATGTCCCAGGCACACTACGCGGACATAAAACGGTGTCACGGTCACCATAGCAGCACAGGCGCACATATCGAGAGCCGTGACTTCATTTGAATATTACAAAACGCGAAATACTCCCACACGGGCAAGTGAACTTGTCGCCAGTTTGAACTTTAACACTAAGGCCGTTGAGCCCATATCGCTTTGGAAAAAACGAGTCTTTTTTGCAAATCATAAATGAATTACAGATGTTCCTATTTTATCTTAATTTTAAATGGTCCATGTAATTAACATGGTACACTAACTGGAAAAATACGCTACTTTTCTAGTAGCAACCAAATGAAAAAGGCAATACTTCCAAGTTATGTAATGCTAAAATTAGAGATTTAGCATTAGTTTCGTTTTTACAATTTCAAGAACAAGAGCTTTCGGGCTATTGTGACAAAACATAACAAGCAAAGTTTACAAAAGTTATTTCCGTTAATTAAATGGCAGTTTAAAGAATAAATTGCGTTCAGTGTACCTCACTAGAGTCATCATTGTCAACCTTGAGGCATGCAAACATTATTTGCAAGTACAAGTCACCGTTTTATACGTATACAGTCGGCTGAGTGTCCTCAACACCGTCACCGGACTAAAAGGGACGAGTGTAGAAGGAACGCAGCCTGGCGACCTCAATAGCCTTATTACATTCAAGAAGCAAACTCAACTATAACATACTCTAATCATGAGATATTCGTATGTACGACATGAAATACGATTAAAATAGGTTTACACACTTTCCATCTATTGCTTAAAAACTGACACATTCAGTATTAATTATCTACTTAAAATACACTTACAATTAATGGGGCTCACATTACACAATTCATACATGGCCTACTGTGCAGCAATAAATTAAAACTATTGAGATTTGTGGTCATCATAAAAAATAAGTTACTAAGTACTATGTCTGCACTGATACTAAGTAGTAACTTGTATATTCAGAAAAATACTATTGAAGAAATAAAAAAGTTAATAATGCTTATGTCGAGAATTCAATGAACTTGAGCCAAAAATTATTTATTATGTAGATATCTATCATTAATAAGAAGTCAAGCAAAACTAATCACTATTACTATCTTTTAACTAATATCACTCATCAAGTTTAAATCACACACTCCAAATCTTAATCTAACCACTTACTAAAAATTACAACTGAAATAGTTAAATGCCAGATTTAACCTTATCTTATTCACGTACGGAACAGTTGAACCAAGTCGAATTCCTTCAAATTTACCAGACCAGCGTGTCCATTAATCATACAGTAGTACTCCGCACCGATAATATACGTTAGCACCATAGCCCCGACCAGGCTACCTAAGGATGAAGACTTCGGCAACAGAATCCCCGTTACGATCAGGAGACCAACATACGTTATGTACCTAAAAATTATAGAATGGTTAATTTTTAATGTAAAGGTTACGGTATATCCCCACCATAAGCAATTAAAATCGAATGGTGTTAGTAAATAATAATCTTGAAAGTTAATATTGTGGTTTCTATGTATATTAACAATACTTGTCATTACTTATTTATCTAAGTTACAGTAATTTGTGAAAATAAATAAAGTAAATTACTCCCCAACTAACCCATAAATAAAGTACACAAGATAATCATAAAAATACAGTACATAATATTACAATATGCAAAGCTAGAACCTCCACCAGAAATGACAGTTAAAAATTACCTAAACAAAATTAATAACACACTACAGCTCATTTCTGGAAAAAAAATCACAATATTAGAAAACTTTCTATGAACACCAAACATCATAATTATTATGAAAACAATTATAAAATTGTTACCTTGATGCAGTCAATGCTTCCATCTGATCTTCCTCCTCTCTGTCCGCAACACAGAATTCTCCTTTCTTGGAGTACCCTTTCGCACATTTGCGACACATATCTGGTCCATCACCATGGCATCCAATACATGACTTGTCGCAATCAAGGCAAGCAAAAGACCCAATAGAGTTCAGGCAAAACTGGTCTTTAGTGCATTGGTTTATATTGTCACACTCATTTATATCCAAGCACCCTTCGTCTGAATCAAATACAAAGCCAGGCTTGCAAGCTGCGCAGTCTTTCTGAGAGCCTTGTCGGCATCCTCCCATACAAGCTCTATGGCATGGGGAGCATAACATCTTGGTGTCATCCTTGTAAGACAAATAGTAGCCTAAGATGCACTGATCACAATTTTCTCCAGTATATCCTGCATCACACAGACAAGTTCCGTTTCCTTTCCTAGTGCCATCTCCCCGACATTTACCATTGCCACTGCATAGATTGTTGTGGTCACCAGGGCATGGAGTGCACTCTCTACCAAAATGATGTTTAGGGCAACAGGTTTTCAGGTTATCTATACAAATGTAAGAGAAAAGGTCCTCTGATTCATCTGGGTTTTGAGCCCACCATGATTCTATGAATTCCTCAGCTTTTTCAGCCATATGGTGGCATTGGAGTGAATAGTCCTTCTCGTCCTTGCATATTCCGTCTTGTATATCGATAAGACGCATCTCACTTCGTTTGTAAGAGGTTTTTAACTTCTCTTCTTCCCACGCCGTGTCGCCGCCTTCATACTTGCCTCTAGCTGTGCGATCCAGGCCTTTTTTGAATGACTCCACAAATAATTTACAAGCTTGACATTCTCCAAGAGTTTTGGCCGTGTTCAATACACTGGGATTGATTATTGGCGGCTGGACATTGCAAAAACCGGCGCGCACCAACAGAAGACAAGTAATGATCTTCAGGATATAATTTACGTTACTTGACATATTGATACCTCTCTGAAACAATCATAAACGTATTCTAATAAAGATATTTGACTATTCACATACTTATCTTAAAGTTTTAATACATTATTGCGAATATTTTCACGAAACATCACAACACCGCGCACAGTACATTCACTTACCAATAAAATGTTTTTCAAAGGCAATCCAACGCCAATAAATAATACTATACTTTCTCAGTTATTAATAAATTACAGCAGAATGGATAATTATCATCATAATCCGCTATTAAAAACTATTAATACTGACGTGTTTGATTCTCACTTGGCGAAAATTTTTGACGTCTATCGTCCAGCTGTTATTTTGACAAGACGCCATCTTGAATATTCTAAACCAACGTTCCATTCTACGTTATTACGCATGCCGTGTAATGGAGCGTGGCAAAGTTAATAGGTATTTTGATGACGTATTGAATTCGATTGTTTTAATCAATTTAATTAACTTCTTAGTTTAAGTTAGTGGCAGCTCACTTCAGATTAAATAAATTATGCGCTTTATTAGAACCAGTAAAAATAATAATGGTACTTAAGCGCACCGCACACCTAATGTTACAGCATAAATGTTACAGTCTCGTTATAACTATGATTTATTTTAATGTACCTACTACTAGTACACCTAGCATAAAAAAAAAATATTTTTCAGTTTTTCTACATGCATTAATTATCCAGCCCATGTTTTCTGATAATCCTTCAGCAGATAAAACTCATCTCATATTCGATAACTCGGCTTGGACCGATTAATGGTTTATTGTTTTACATAATTACATTGGTATTTTTAACACCAAATAGGTACTTTGAGAAGTCTTTAGATTTGTCTCTTCTCCTACACAACGCCCACATCATCTACGCTAATACAACCGTGGGATGAAATTTGAATCCACTGACCTTATCAGCCACCATATCGCAAAATTCAAACCTTGTATAGGTACCGACCGAGTCACAAAAAACTCAAAAAGAATGTCATCTCAGATACCTATCCCATGTAGAGAAATCAAAACCTTTTGGTCCTTGTGTAAGTAAGTAAAACAGAGTCCAAAGAATCCATCGGGATACTCGTTAATCTTTCTGAAACAAACCTCCTCAACCCACGCAAAGGAGTCACAAGCAGAATTCAATCATCCCATAAACAAGTCACTGTTTTACTTACGAGTTTTCAGTGAAATATAAATAGCCGGTAACATTTTGTTACTTTTTGTAAGCCGCCCAGATAGCAAGCGAACTTGCTGCAAACATGATTTTTATTTGAAATTAGATTGTCACGTCAAATATGACAAATCAAGTTTGTGNATCTAGTCTTCAAAGCAGTTTAATCGATTTATTTTATTTTCAAAATCGATATTTTATTGTCTATGATGGCCGCAGGAACATCACTATACATGGACTCCCAGCAATAAAGTACGGTAATGCCTCGTACAGATTTTATCGGCAAAAATTATGGAACTTGATAGGTTTTAGACCATGCCACGCACCAAAACGGCCGGTAGTTGTAATAGTATTATAGAATAAACGTTAAAAGACTTATTTATTTAATTTTTCAATGCTTAAGTGTCCATTAGAATGAAAGGGTGCTTAATGTATTAAAAAAAATAGAAAATAATTATGATGGGTTAATGTTTTTGGGCGGTTTTTTAGGCGGTTTCTGACAATGTCCTTTACCTTACATAGAAAACTAGCGGCCGCCCGCGACTTCGTACATGTGGATCCCGTTTTACCCCCTTCATCTATCTTACGCGGTTTAGATTTTTTCATACATTTTTTTTCCCGCTAACTCTCGTTCCCGTGGGAATTTTGCAATAGCCTGTTGTAACTAAGTTTTAAGTTTACTATGGTACCTGCATGCAAAATTTCAAGCGTCTAACTTAAGCGGTTTAGATTTTTCATACAAAAGGATTTTCCCGCTAATTCCCGTTCCCGGGGGAATTTCGGGAATTCCTTTTTTAGTGCACCTCTACGGTACCTAAGCTACGTTCTTTCCAAATTTCAAATGCCTACGTTTAGCCGTTTAGGCTGTGCCAATGTCTTGAAATGTCAGTCAGTCAGTTTCTCCTTTTATATATTTAGATAGATAAACATATATGGGTAGCATATCGGCTGCACAATCTATCTAAACTTCCCTTGGTTCCCGCTGAAAACCAGCTTCTCGACATGACGTTTGTGTCATGTCGCAAATTTCGTTAAGCGGGCGCCTCTTCAGCATAGCTTCATAAATTTTAAGGATTTTTGTTAAGTAAAACTTATGCTGAATAAAGTTTTTCTTATCTTATAATTTTTTATTACCTTTCTAATGTGATACTCCAATATGAACCTGGGGCCAGCCCAGGAGCACAGGATGCATTGTACCCGCACGTCCATGCCTATCCTCTCCATGTAGTCCTGGAAATATAAGAAAAATAATACTGCTATAGTCTGGTCTGCGAGCACGTAGAATTCTGTCCAATGACCCCAAGCTACCCATCCTTATCGCTCGCGCGTAATTATATTGCTGTCGCGACTGTGCGACGGGCGCCCGCAGTGAGTGTGCGAGCGCGACAGCAACATAATTACGCGCGAGCGATAAGGATGGGTAGCTTGGGGTCATTGGACAAAATTCTACGTGCTCACAGACCGGGCTTTAGAAAAATTACTAATCAATTTTGTCTGTAGGCATTTAGTTAATAAAATGGCATTAAGTGCCATATTGGCGAAAATAACTCTGTCTGTTTCTCTGTAAGCTTTTCACGATCACAACTGAGTTGATTATGAAATGTTCTAAAGAGACAATTTGATACCTAGGTAAAACAGGGAAAGTTTTATCTTGGTTTTTGAAAAGGGGACATAAAGGGCATAACGTCTTTCTGTGACAAACCAAAATTCACGCAAGCAAAAGCTAAGTAATACTTGGACACGTTATACAGCGCCATCTACTCCCAAAGCTTGTAAACTCAGGATTTCCATAACGACCGGTCTTGCGCTGCCCGCATTCAGGCTCTTCCCGCGACCTTCACCAGATCGTCGGTTCACCTAGTAGGAGGCCTGCCCACGCTACATCTTCCAGCCCGTGGTCGCCACTCGAGAACTTTCCTGCCCCAACGGCCATCGTCTCCACGAGCTATGTGCCCCGCCCACTGCCACTTGATTTTAGCAATTCTGCGGGCTATATCGGTCACTTTGGTTCTCCTAAAAATATGTTAAAAAAACAGATAAGTTTGGCAAACCCCATCTTGGCTTATGATCTCCAAAGCGTCTTCTACCATCTCTGGGATGGTCGCAGCGGAGGATTCCACTCCTTGAGACTGCGGCCTTTCTATCGACGAATCAGATGTGTTGAGCTCTGGAAATATTAAGAAAAAACGTTAGTAAAACTAATAAATATCATTGGAACTTCGTTGCGATCATCATCATTCATTAAGAAAATGTAATATCCTACTAATATTATAAATGCGAAAGTTTGGATGTCTGGATGTTTGTTACTCTTTCACGCAAAAACTGCTGAACGGATTTTGATGAAACTTTACAGTATTATTGTTTATAACCTAGAATAACATATAGGCTATAATTTATGACGATCTGTGACAAACGAAATTTCACGCGGGTCAAGCCGCGGGCAAAAGTTAGTTTGAATTATTTTCACTTGATCCTGCAAACCGCATGATAAAGGGCAAAATAGATGTGTGGTGGACTATTTAACTTTAAATCTAGTGGGGATTGGGATTCTGTTCACAATGAGCACTAGTTTGAATCCAATGGGCAGATAAGTACCTATAGTCTGGTCTGCGAGCACGTAGAATTTTGTCCAATGACCCCAAGCTACCCATCCTTATCGCTCGCGCGTAATTATGTTGCTGTCGCGACTGTGCGACGCGCGCCCGCAGTGAGTGTGCACGCGCCACAGACCGGGCTTTAGTAGTTTTTGTGAAAAGAGAAACTTATCTGGATCACTTGTTATTGCTATTTTACATTTTCTAAACAACTGTCTTCTAGGATGTCTTGTAGGATGGAGGAAGGAAGAGATTGCTTTATAGCGATAAGACCGACCTTCTTTTGTTTTCTTGTGTGGTGTACTACATTTAAAGTGTTTTCTATCTATTTATTTTACATGTAATTTCTTACCTTCCACTGGCTGCGTCCTATAGTCTCTCCTAGCAGGTACATCCGGGTCGCTGATCTTGAAATAGTCAAACATTCTCGGTTCCAGCTCCGACTCCAAACTTGTCTGGCTATCCCGCTCGCACGCTGAATGATTTAACATGGTTTATAACAAACATATTTTTGTCCCTTTCATTAACTTGACTATATTAACTTATGATACCTACATAGATTGATTACTTATTGTAAATGCAAGTGTTTTAAAAGTTGACATAAATATTTTTATTTAAATAACATTATAATTTACAAATTAATTATAATTAATGTTAAAGCCTGAAGTCGCATAACTTCAACCTTTAACATTAATTATAACTAAAACAGAAAGGTATAAGTTTTGAATATGTTTGATGATAAATGTTAAAAACAGTTATGTAAATGAACTTAAAATACCCGATAAAAACCAAATGGAAGGTAGGGAAAGAAAAAAGTGTTTAGGAACTGATTCTAAAAGCATTCGAAATATTTTTTGAAGTACTAAATTGAATGGCTGCTTTTACGATTTTGATGTAATTTTACAATGTTTACCCGACTGCGACAATATGAGGGTTCTGTTTTAAAAGCAAGGTTCTAAAAACCGGCCAAACGCGAGTCAATTAATACTTTAATCCCATTTATTTATTTTGTTTATTTATTTTATTTATTTATTTTATTTATATAAAAAGTGATTGTATTTGAGTACCAGAATCATTGCTTTTCAGGATTTTTTACATATTTTACTTATACCTACTTATTTTCAGTTTTAGAGTATTGAATAATTGAATGCATTCTGTTTGTTTGAATGTGCTCATTATGCACTGCGGTGTCAGTACTCATTCATAACATTCGAATGTAGTATACTATGCAAGCAATGTACCTAAACTTTACACATTATAACGTCGCTGATGTCATCACCCAGATAGCAAGNGAGAAACATTTTTTTTGTGTGCTTTAACGTTGTCGCTAACGAGTGCATCAAAAAGATCTATAAAGTTGAAGATTTTAGTTCTTGAAAGTATCTGCTACGGACGCTGTACAATCATCATACATTTTAATGTATGTTATTTTTTACGCAGTCGCTAGCGGATGACGATTGATGTAAAGTCGCACTGAGCCCACTGATTACGAATAGATCCAGAAAAACACGTGTAGGTAGTGACAGCAGTTAGTACTAGGGTCACATTGTTTTTTTACAGAAGTACCTAGTCTAATTGTTCCTTTCTACAAAATCGCTAATAATCTAGCAAAATCGATTTTGATAAAAAAAGAACTTGTTTTATAATTTTCTTAATTTCGTCATTTTTTCTGCATTTTAGTATTCACACATGCATTTTTAGTTTTATTTGTTTAGACTGTACAGAATAAAATGACATTATCATCATACAAATATCATTTTTTAGTCTTGACAAGGAACCCTTATAGTTTCGATATGTCTGGCTGTCTGTCTGTCCGAGGTTTTGCTTGGAAACTATTGGCATTAGGGAGCTGTAATTTAGTATATTAATCACGCCGACAAAACGGTAGAATAAAATTATGAAAAAAATTTTGACGTCACGGGCCTTTTCTTTAGAACCTCGCTTCGGCACGCTTTATCTCTTTACATTTTCATTAGTTTGAAAAAGTGAAAAATACGTGTCGAGTATTTTTTGATAAGCTAAATGACGGACTAATTAAAACTCTTGCTTTTTTACCAAAGAAACGTCCCTATTTATTTACTTAAGATTTAACCCAGTTTTCTGGCAAACTCTATTTCTCTATTTCTTGTGGAAAAAATACGTGATATTTCCCGAGACCCCCCCTCTCCCCCACGTGAGATTTAGTGAGGTTTTTGTTGACCCCCTCCCCTCCCTAAAAGCCTCACGTAATTTATGGACGCCCCCTTAGAGTTTCTAGCCGAGTCAAATAATAACCGAAAAGTTACACTCATTATTTTAGTATTTTTCCAGATTTTTCCCCTTTGTCATTGCTAGATTTACGAGAAATATTTTAATCTTATGGAACTCTAGCGGTACCTAACTACGAGTATAAGGGCTGGTTACCACGGCTATCCAGTTTTGCGGGATCCAGTATTGCAGGACTCCTAACTAGACAGTCGTGTGAACATACATTTACGAGTATGTGTAGGTACTTATTTGAAATTCGAATTACAAATCTTACTATCCTACTAATATTAAAATGCGAAAGTTTGTATGGATGTCTGGATGTCAACATGTTTGTTACTCTTTCACGCAAAAACTACTTAACAGATTTTGATGAAACTTTACAGTATTGTTGTTTATAACCCAGAATAACATATAGGCTATAATTTATGACGATCTGTGACAAACTAAATTTCACGCGGGTGAAGCCGCGGGCAAAAGCTAGTACATTATACTACTAAACGGGATCCTGCAAAAAACGGGATGTATCTGTGGGAATAAGCCCTTAGTCGAGTTACCTTAAACGACGAGTGTGATGCCCGTTTACACCATCAATCCCTATTTTTTAAGTGACTCCTATGAAAACAAAATTCATACAATTTGTTACTATAGGGGTCTCTTAAAAATTAGGGATTGATGGTGAAAAAGGGCATTAGACTCGTATTTATCCATCTTTACGAAAAATTACTATAATCCTATAAAATATAGCGATACTGTGGGAGTCCAAGCCCACCAGAGCGAATTGCGTAGCTTTACCTGTATAAAACAAATATCTACTAATTTGCAAATTAAATACCAATAAAAACTAAACAATATCTACTCACATAAAACAGCACAGCTTTTGTCAGCATCTCTCCACACAGCACCATTCATCGATCACTGTTCACTTTCATCAAACACAGTTCAACATAAGTCTTCTATTTTATACCAAGAATCTATACTTGCTCTAAGTATTGTCCATCTGTGAAGCTGCCAGCAGTTTATAATAGCTGATTTTAGATTAAAATAAAAAAAATACTATTTGTACTAAAAAAAGAAAATAATTACATAAGATGCAAAATTACTTCGCGTAAATTTTGTACTACGCGGTACACTATTTTGTGACAGCTCTGAATCTGGCACAGATTAGATATTTTAAAAGCTAAATTCAAAATTCGAACAAGTATGTTTTTTTTTGTTTGATTATTTAATTTTCCTTTTCAGGTTATGGCAAAGGCATTACGCCATACAGACAATCGAACAAATATAGTTCAAAGCAACAGGGATAATTAGGCGCGTGGAAATTTTACTTGACTTTATTCTGCGTGAATCTTTGGTGTTTTTAATTTCAATAAAAGTTTAAAAATAATAAGATGCTGTGTTAAAGATAACTTGCTTGGGTAAAAAGGTTTTAAGATTTATGCTCAAGCCGCTCTATCATTTTTTAGCACATGCAATTTATGAAATGCAATTTTACAATTTTTTAATTTTTATTTAAGTATTCTCTTCACATAGCTTCACAGTTAGCACGAAATGCATGTTAGAAATAAACTTAGGCCAGAAAATAAAGTTATTATGTACTAGTGGCCCGTCCCGACTTCGCACGGGTATTGAACAAAAAACAAAAATTGGATTATAATGGTGAAAGAATTTTTCGAATCGATGCAGTTTTATCCTCTTTATTGTATTAGCATAGATTATAAATATTTAGCTAAACACAAATCCTAGAAAATAAAACAAACTTCTTAGACAAACTTGCTAAAATTATTATGTTTCACTGTCTCGAAACAAATTAACGTCGTTAGTTAACGTACGTAGTTAACGTACGTAGTTAACGTACGTAGTAAACGTCTCGTTATTTTTAATAGTAATAATTTGTAAAGTTATGAGATTTTATTAGGTGGTAACCCAGATTTCATTATGTCGTCCTCCTGTAAATTTAAATCGATACCTCTTCGCATAATTATAAAAATAAACCAGTCGAGAACATTCCACCACAGATTGTAAGCGCATTTTGAAAATGGAATAGAAATTCCATCGGATGCGTGTTTTTGAAAAAGGAATCCGAGCGTTCCATTTTACAATTTTCTGTAGCGGGTGGTAGTTTCGAATAGAAAAGTTGCATTTTTGATTTACGAACTGTCAGAATGTCAGTCGGTGCGTGAGTTTTGCAACGGAAGGATTTTCCGTGAATATTTTTAATTGTGCCAGTACGTTCATAATATTTTAAACTTTCGTGTTGCATTTTTACTAAATTCTCACTATAGAAAAAAGACCCGGAAACTGGTCGTATAATTTTCGGACTGACTGCACCACGTAAGAAAATATCGTGCAAATGCGGGTGAGTGAAGAAAATTCATGGAGCCCGAGCAGATGACGCCGCATCTTAGTCTGCTCGCGACCGTGACTCATGCAACGTGCAACCGAGTCGAAAAATCGGGTAGGAAAAACCGTTTTACCTTTTTAAAAGTAATTGTTGCGAAATCCCGTTATAGTGAGAATTACGTACACAATTTATTTTGAATACTAACTGTTTAGTGTGAAAAAACTTATAGTGCAGTGAATTCGGGCTAATCAAGATTTGAAATGGAGGCGTCTTCGGATCAATTTTGTGAGTACCTATAATTTTATAACATGGGTGTGTCCTGCAAAACGTTGATATTTCACGACTCTATTTTTTCGTTGCTTGAACATTTTGTTGTATGTAGGATTGTAGGTAGGTACCTACTACGAATATAAGATCGCGCATTTCCATCGAATATTTTATGGCAAGATGGCGGCGTGGAAGGCGCTGGATGCAGGCCGCCACCAACCGGCCATTTTGAAAATTATTGGGGGAGGCCTATGTTCAGCATGATGATGATGATAAGGATATTAATGATGATGTTGATGAGTGATGATGATGATGATGATGGCGATGATGATGATGATGATGATGATGACGATGCTGATGAGTGATGACGATGATTATGCTGATGAGTGATGACGATGATGATGCTGATGAGTGATGACGATGATTATGCTGATGAGTGATGACGATGATGATGCTGATGAGTGATGACGACGATGATGATGATGATGCTGATGAATGATGACGATGATAACGATGATGTTGATGAGTGATGACGATGACGACGATGATGATGATGATGATGATCTGATGATTGATGATGACGATGATGACGATGATGATGATGCTGATGATTGATGATGACGATGATGATGATACCGCTGAAGATGATGATGCTGATGAGTGATGATGATGATGCTTATAATGATGATGATGATTTTATGGGAAAATATGTTTTTTATGCACAATTATTTTACCTATGTTGTATTTTTTTATGTGTAGTAGGTACCTACCTACCTACATGTGCAATATTTATTGTCTATTTCAAAAAGATTTCAACCTAAGTGCCTAATCATCATATTTTATATTCGACGGCCATCTTGCCTGGTGGTTCGCATGCTCAGAGATTTTTTTAATGACATTGTTATTTTTATGGTTTCAGCTGGCGGCTGCTGGGCCTACATCTTTGATGCTGCTCCGCCTTGGACCCGGAGCCGAGGAGCAGAGCGGCTTGCGTCATCAGACACCAGGGTCAGCGTCTGATGCTAAAGGTAACGTTTCTTATTGATTTTGAAAATGATGACAGTGGTGATGATGACAATGGTCATGATAATGGCAATGATGATGGCGGTGATGATGAGGGTGGTGACTGGTGATGATGCCAATGATGATGGTGATGATGATAGCAATAATGATGGCAATGATGATTGTGGTGATGAGTGATGATGAGGGTGGTGATGATGGATGATGATGATGATTATGGAGATGATAGCAATGTTGATTGTGATGATGAGTGATGATGAGGGTGGTGATGATGGATGATGATGATGATTATGGTGATGATAGCAATGTTGATAGTGATGATGAGGGTGGTGATGATGGATGATGATGATGATTATGACGATGATAGCAATGTTGATAGTGATGATGAGTGATGATGAGGGTAGTTATGATGGATGATGACGATTATGGCGATGATGATAGTGGTGAATAGTGATGATAGTTTTGATGATGAGAGTGGTGACTGGTGATGATGGTGATGATAGTGGCGATGACGATGGGGATGATGATGGCGATGACGGCAATGATGATTGTGGTGATGAGTGATTTGATATCTTATACAGGTTTTACCCATGATAATAAAGCTTTGCTTGCTTAAAGATTGACAGAATATTTATTGACATTGTTATTTTTATCGTTTAAGCTGGCGGCTGCGGGGCCTACGTCTTTGATGCTGCTGCACCTTGGACCCGGAGCCGAGGAGCAGAGCGGCTTGCGTCATCAGACACCAGGGTCAGCGTCTGATGCTAAAGGTAACGTTTCTTATTGATTTTGAAAATGATGATGACATTGTTGATGATGATGATTATGGCGATGATGATGGCAATGATGATTGTGGTGATGAGTGAATGAGTGATGATGAGTGTGGTGATGATGGATGATAATGGATGATGATGATGATTATGGCGATGATGGCAATAATGATTGTGATGATGAGTGGTTATGATGATGAGAGTGGTGACTGGTGATGATGGTGATGATAATGGCGATGACGATGGTCATGATGATGGCAATGATGATTGTGATGATGAGTGATTTGATATCTTTTACAGGTTGTACCCATGATAATAATTAATTAATGTATGTAATTAACTGTTGGTGAACCAAATAAATAAAATAAAATAAAAATAACAAAGCTTTGCTTGCTTAGATTGACAGAATATTTATTGACATTGTTATTTTTGTCGTTTCAGCTGGCGGCTGCGGGGCCTACGTCTTTGATGCTGCTCCGCCTTGGACCCGGAGCCGAGGAGCAGAGCGGCTTGCGTCATCAGACACCAGGGTCAGCGTCTGATGCTAAAGGTAACGTTTCTTATTGATGTTGAAAATGATGATGACAGCGGTGGTGATGATGATGGTGATGATTATGGCAATGATGATTGTGGTGATGAGTGATGATTAGGGTGGTGATGATGGATGATGACGATTATGGCGATGATGATAGTGGTGATGATAGTTTTGGTGATGGGTGATGATGGTGATGATAATGGCGATGACGATAGTCATGATGATGGCGATGACGGCAATGATGATTGTGGTGATGAGTGATGATGAGGGTGGTGATGATGGATGATGATGATGATGGATGATGACGATTATGGCGATGATGATAGTGGTGATGATAGTTTTGATGATGAGAGTGGTGACTGGTGATGATGGTGATGATGGTGATGATAATGGCGATGACGATGGTCATGATGATGGCGATGACAGCAATGATGATTGTGGTGATGAGTGATGATGAGGGTGGTAATGATGGATGATGATGATGATTATGGTGATGACGGCAATGATGATTGTGAAGATGAGTGATGATGATAGTGGTGATGATGAGGGTTGTGACTGATAATGATGCCAATGATGATGGTGATGATGATAGCGATAATGATGGCAACGATGATTGTGGTGATGAGTGATTTGATATCTTTTACAGGTTGTACCCATGATAATAAAGCTTTGCTTGCTTAAAGATTACGGGACTATTCCCACCTCTCGTTCCCACCACTGCAACTCCTGTGTAGCCAGGATCTACAGCTTGACCGCCACAAAAACCCAACCAATGAAGGTCAAGTTTGTCCCGAGGGAAAGTTAAACTGTCATTCGACCCGCAACGAAATTAATCAGAAGAACATAGGAGGAGTTCGAAATTAAGGTTCGACTTCCCTCCATTGCAAAGCGGATGACAGGTGGTTGCTTAAAGATTGACAGAATTTATTGACATTGTTATTTTTATCGTTTCAGCTGGCGGCTGCGGGGCCTACATCTTTGATGCTGCTCCGCCTTGGACCCGGAGCCGAGGAGTCAAGCGGCTTGCGTCATCAGACACCAGGGTCAGCGTCTGATGATAAAGGTTAGTTATTTTGTAATAGTGACTGAGTATTGGGACGTGTAAAGGTGCTTTTTAAAAGCCTATTTGAAAAAAATAAATGAGTTTTTTTTATGTAAAGTTTTTGGTTTATGAAACTACAAATGAAGTGTTTGTACCAGTAACGTTTTTTACTGATTTTGAGGGTGGTGATGATGATGATGATGATAGCCGTGATGATTATCATCATAATGATAGTGGTGATGTTGAGGGTGGTGATGATGATGATGATTATTATGATGGTGATGATTATAATGATGACTACCCAGATAGCAAGNCCTTGTGCCGCCACAATGTGAGTTTTAATACCAGGTTTACTGACCTTGTACCGAAGGAATGGAAAGTATTAGAAAGTTACTGCCGCAGCAAAGGTGTTAACTTCCAAAAAACCATTGGTGGACGCCCCACGCTGCGTTTTCCGGTACGTGGCCTCCACTCCAGAACCTTGCTGCCCCATCGGCCGGCAGTTCTGCGTACCTACTATGGACACAAGGTGGACCGACTACCTCATATAAGGTAGCCGGAAGGCGCTGATGCAGACCGCTATCAAGTATCAACCGCGCGATATTGAAATCATTGGGGGAGGCCTATGTTCAGCAGTGGACGTCTTGTGGCTAAAATGATGATGATGATGATAACCATTGGTTAAATAATAAATATCTCCGAAGTTATAATTTGAACTCTGCTTCCGCTGGGAATCAACCTCTAGGCCTGGAGCAGATGGAATTATCACTAGACTAACTTTACCTTAGTAAACAAAGCTTGCACTGATAAGGCTTTTCTCCCGAGTGTATCCTGAGATGCTTCGTAAGTGTGGAACTGTCCGAGAAGGCTTTCTTGCAAGAACGGCACCTGATGATTGGAAGACAAAAAATAGTATTAACTAATTTATATTCTTTCTTGGTCGGATTTCTCAAGGGATTTATAACAAACAGCCGTTAAAAGGATAGAGTAAGGAAGGAAGTACTATCTACTTACTTAAACCTACTGAACAGACTAAGACAAAAGGCAAAGATTTAGAAGAAAGGATAAAATTATGATAAGTAGAATAAAACTTACTGGTAAGGCCGTTCTCCCGAATGTGTCCTCATGTGCGTCGTCACGCTGGAACTTTGGCTGAACCGTCGGTCGCAGATTGGACACCTGCAAACACAAAAAACTCGTCTGTACTGCAATGTGATGATAATAAAATTAAATGAGCCTGGATTAAATTCTCATCATCATCAATTTCAGCCACAGGACGTCCACTGCTGAACATAGACCTCCGTTCCGGAAAACGCAGAGTCGTCGTGAGATCGTCAGTTCACCTTGTAGGACGTCTCACGCTGCGAACCAGGCTTTAGTTACGGGCAAGTAAGGAATACTAAATGCACGATAGAACGTAATGGAAAACTAACAGTTTTACATACGAGTATTTACTAACCTGAAAGGTTTCTGTCCAGTGTGCGTCCTCACATGGGCCGTCAAGTTGGCAGCTTGCGAGAAACTTTTATTGCAGTCCCCGCACCGATACGGGCGCTCGCCCGAATGGGTCCTCAGATGGGTCTTGAGGGTGCTCGGCCGGGCGTACGTCTTGCCGCATATGCGGCACAAGTTCGGCTTCTGTTCGTCGTCTTCGGAACAACCGCTGAGAGCTCCTACCTGGTAATAAGACAAGAGGCACTGTTTTTTAAAAACATTTCAGTTAAAAACTTAACGTTGTTGATTTCCTCAACTTTGCTAGTTGGGATAGAAAGTGATTTAGAAATTGAATAGATTGTAAATTCAAAAATGAAAAATCATAGTGAAAATAGGGACAGTCATCAACTCCACAACATTCAGAAATTAAAGTTTGCTCATTTGTAGTCAATAACGGGAAACTCTACTATCTTATTCAAACTAGGTAAGACATAATTCTAGGAATCAAGGAAGCACGTCGTCTGAAGGAAACATATCAAAGGAGAACCCAAACGAAAATAACCACGTTATCCAGCTCTAACACTTCTTAAATCAGTGGTAAAGTCATTCTAGTTATACCGGGACTCGACTAATTTTGCGCCACAACAAATTAATACCTACCTAAGTAACTTTTCAAAATTGCTTACCTGGACTTTCCCTGAATTCACACAAGCCGTATATCCATACTCCTGCGGATGCATCTGCCCCTGATGGTTCAGGATCGTATACCCTCCCCCCATGTTCTGTTCCTTTGGATTCTCTTGCATATACATCTTCGAGGGCGATCTCTTTAACGTAGGCCCTAAGCTTTTCTGTCCAAAGTTTGGCTTTTGCTGGAATATGGAGTAGTTCTGGTTTGGTTTCTGGGTGTTCTGTATTAGAGGTTTGAAGGTAGAAGTGGCGGTTATCAGAGGATCTGATTGGTTGGGCGACCTGAAGTCCGCAGTGAAGGAGTAGGTGGCGGAAGGATAGGAGTTAGGACTGATCACGTTCTGTGTTTGGGGGTAGACCACGTTGACTGACGGCGTTGAAGCGTTCTGGTTCCATTGGACCTGGAAGAATGTTTGTGATATGAAAATTACAAATAACTTGAAAAAATCGAACTGCCTACGGCGGGAATTGAACCCACGACCTTCCGCTTGCCGGGCGACTGCTCGTGGGTTCAATTGCCGCCTTAGGCAGCTCGATTTTTCAAGTTATTCATAATTTTCTAATTAGTTTGAGATGCAACTCTTAACGCTAATAATTAAATAACTATGTTTGTGATAGTTACTCCTCCAGTTTCTTGGCTACGGAACCTTGTGGGTTTATTTGCTACTAGGCTACATAGGCTAAATAAAATATATATGTAGATTTTTTATAAGATTTTAATAATTTTATGCACAAAATACTAATAGTCCCGTTAGCCCCTCGTGTTAAGCTAAATATTGTGTTACGAGTGGGCTCACTACAATATACGAGCGGCGGTAGGATTCTAACCCGTGTTCCTCGGATCTCGAGTCAGCCAGTCCGACTCCTTCACCGTTCGGCTATCGTGGCTTCCATAAAATATGAAAGTGTTGTTTGAGTCTACTCTCGAGCTTTTTAATCGTTATTTAATTACCAAACCATCCAGAAACATCAATGCTTTAATGTCGCGTCTTTTTCTTCAAAGGCATCTTTAAATTATGTGGTCGGAATTCGCTGGATGCAGGCCGCTACCAACCGGTCAATATGGAAATCAATGGAGGAGGCCTATGTTCAGCAGTGGACGTCCTATGACTGAAATTATGATTAATCCTATGGAATTTATTACCTGAGAGCAAAGCTGGTCAGGCGGGCATCCATGCATGGTCATGTTCATGGACACATTGACGCTCATGGTGGGAAACAGCGGCGCGCCGCCATAGTGCTCGTAGTACGGGTACCCGCCGCCACTGTTCACCATCATCTGTTGGAAACACCATAAATAATGTCACTGAGGATTAAGTAGATAATTTGGAAGAATTTAACACTTAAGTATATGAATCCTTCCTATCTATATTAAATATTTTGCAAGATTTTCAAAACCTAGTGTTGTTGACTCTACTTAACTTGTACAATTAAATACGACTGTACAAATAGCCACACTCGATCGTAGATTCCTCTTTCTATGATCTGAGGTAGATTCTGTGATTCTGACGTAGCTGCTGCTACGAAATGTTTGGTAGCAAAACTATGTGTAGTAATTTCAGAGATTTCACTAATTACCTACATAATGTTTGTTCCATTGATAGTCCAGTCCCCAGATAGCAAGCGAACTTGCTGCAAATATGATTTTTATTTGAAAATAGATTGTCACGTCAAATATGACAAATCAAGTTTGTGGCAATATTGNCAAGCACCGGCTTGGAGGTGAATGGCAGACGCATCCCTGGAACCATTGTCAGGTAACAGGTTGACCTCCGCAGTCTGATGACGCCTACCACTGCCCAAGATACGCTCAAAGGCAGCCTCCGTAGAATTTGCTGAGTGGAAAGTCACTTGACTTTGCTATTCTTATTTGGTCAGCGCTAGACAGTCAAGAGTGTTAAGACGCTGAATAAAGCACGGCGTTGCAGGGGCAAGCACCGGCTTGGATGGTCATTTGACTTATTGGTCGTCAAGGGGACCTAAAGGGACTGATTTGGAATCCTTGGCTTTTTGTTTTATTAGTATTTGACGATTTGTAAGAACTAATTTAATCAGTCTAAGCAAATAAAGATATTATTATGTTTTGATTTTGCTTGAAGTGACCGGCTAGAGAACCAAGGTCGGATTATTTTTTAGATAGGTATCACCAGTACGAGCACAGGGTGATTTTGCCGAACAAAAATCCAGCACTGGGAGGGTGCTCCTCGCACAATGCTTATTAGGAATTTTAGATAGGATACGCTCGTGACATGTTCAAATTCAAAAACGTTTATTGCATGTCACATTACGATTTATATGTTGTTGCAAAATAGAAGTATACATGTTCGATGCACTTAGCACATTTTGTCATACTTATTAATCTTCTTGATTTGCAAAAAAACATTAGAATTTAATAATTCAAGCTGTAAGCTGGCTCAGTGTTGGGGGTGGCCACCCAGTCTACTAATAGTTGTAGTTTAAAGTGCTTTGTTGATGTGGTAAAGCATTTGTGGGTGCTTTATTTTATGAGCACAATGAGCCTTTTTAAATGGGTATTTATTAAGAAACTCGTACCAGAAAGAGTTATCGTTAAAATTGTATAAGATGGTTGTGGGTACGTTATTCAATCTATTTATACAATATAGAGATTCGCGAGAATGCTCATTTGATCGAAAAAAGTGTTAAAGCTATCAGAATCCCACGTACCTCGATTCATCCGTTTTGAATCTCGCCGGGGTCCGAGTTTCTCCGGTATCCGACGCTCTGGGTCCACCTGCTCGTCGTCCGGAAGACACTCGTCCTCTTTGGCGCCAACCACCATCACGTACATGTCGTTCGCGGTCACACACGCGCGGTCAATTGCACTTTTTAATTTTATTTAATTTTAAACTTAGTATAAGAACGTTGAGAAATAAATTATTTCAGTAAAAATCTGAGCAGAGTTTCTGCTTACGATGTTGCTAGTTTGGAAGTTAAAGACGCTATGAAGAACTCCGAGCAAGCTCGCCCCCAGGTGACTAAAATGGCGGCAAACGGAAGTAAGTCAAATCAATTCCTATTAAATAATTGCGGAAATGACGTCATTTAAGGTATGAAATGGTAAAAAAACTACACCGGAAGTAGACGCATCTCTCACCAGATGCTGTGCATCGTCACATGCCGAATAATAAAGAAAAGATACCAATTGAAATAATTATAAAATTATTTATTTTCACCCGGTGTAAACACCCACGGGTGGAATGAAACGGGTTTTTATTGGGTTTTTACCCTCATGTGGGTTTTTACCCGGGTGGAAACCCATCTCTATTGTCACCACCTCCTCGCCAGACTTCAAATTATTACAAACTCCCTGCAGTGACTTTTTTGGAGAGTGATTGTACTACAATAGCATATCGCAATAGCACAGGCAATAGTCTGTAATCCATGTGGCTCATCGACACGACATCTTTTGACATACATGCTTTTACTTATCTACCCGTGCGTCCCATTTCCTATACTCCGTTCCCAGAAGGAATTATTTTGGATTCGAATTAACGATGTCGCGTCGCGAGTCATTGCAGTTTGTAACTTTGTATGAGTCGGTTAAGCCAGATAGCAAGCGAACTTGCTGCAAATATGATTTTTATTTGAAAATAGATTGTCACGTCAAATATGACAAATCAAGTTTGTGGCAATAATNCCATTAGTCACCATAGTAGACAGGGCACCCACCATTAGTCACCATAGTAGACAGGGCACCCACCATTAGTCACCATAGTAGACAGGGCACCCACCATTAGTCACCATAGTAGACACCCAGATAGCAAGCGAACTTGCTGCAAATATGATTTTTATTTGAAAATAGATTGTCACGTCAAATATGACAATTCAAGTTTGTGGCAATATTGCTGTAAGCTTTTTGATTAAGGTATGATGTTTCAAGGCTTTTTTAATTTTGAAGCAAGTTTGCATTTTGCGCTATGTTTCAAAGATGAAGTATCACGTTTGTTTTTTGTTTGTTACAAACTTGCGTTAAACTGTCATACGCATGGAGGAAATAAAAATAATCACTAGTGGTCATACGCCAACGTCACTCGCCCGAAGCCATAAAAAAGAAAACAAAAACTTCCGGTTCCGGAAGAAAAAACAGCCAAGCCAAGTGTTTTGCACTTTTGCAGCATACTCTATAATCTGTGTTTTGCAGTGCACAAAATCAGTGGTAGAACCTACAAGTTTTTTTGTTTTGCACGGTANCCGAAGCCATAAAAAATAAAACAAAAACTTCCGGTTCCGGAAGAAAAAACAGCCAAGTGTTTTGCACTTTTGCAGCATACTCTCTAATCTTTGTTTTGCAGTGCACAAAATCAGTGGTAGAACGTAGAACATACAAGTTGTTTTGTTTTGCACGGTGTTTTATTTAATAAACGCTTCTGTTGTGCGAATTGGACGCGTGACGTGCTGAAGATTAAAGGTTAGTTCATTTATTTTTACTTTTACAAACAGAATTAATGATAATATGTAGTTCATATCTATCCCTTAAACCTTATTTACCTACTTTCAAACCCAGGCAACGTGTTCCAAGTGTTCCTAACCCTAAATAGTTCCTGCATGTTCGATCCTGTTTAGATATTACTCAATATCTATTTCTAATTATCTATGTGTAACAGAAAGGTGTTATTGTAAGTTGTAAATGTACATCGTGGACCCTGTCTTGCACTGCAATTGGAAAATAATACATAAATAAAACGTCTAAAATTAACAAATATCCTCAAATAAAATAAATTAATTGCTGTACAGTGACTGACATTGATGGAAAAGTCAGTTTTTCCTTTCAATAATTATCATGTTGCTATGAAAATGCTACACTCATAGCACTTCAAAATTGTAAATGTAAATATAAAATACCCCCTAAACATCCTATCCACCTTATCATGTACTTTTATCCTACCTCGTTTAATTCTTAAAATTGTTAGTTATGTCTTAGCAAAGGTAATATAAATTTCCTCCTACATACCTATCTATTATATTATATAATATAATTATAATTAATAGTGTTATTTGGTTTCAGACTTTGCATAATGGAATCAAAAAAATTTTTTTTGGTTACATTTTTAGATGAAGATGATGCTCCTGGCATAGTTTCATCAAAGTGGTTAAGATACCAACACTTGTTATTACCCTAATGTATGCACTGAAGAAATCAAAAACAAACTTGAAGAAGATGCCTGCACCTGAAGCAACATGGTCACAGTATCAAATAAAAATACTTAAAAGTTATGGTAAAATAATTTTCTTTATTTATTGTGAGACTTTTTTATTTATTGCAGAAACTTATGGCGAAGCACGATTACATTTAAAAAAAAGCAGAAGAAACCTGAAATTTGGACTCAGACGAAGCAGAAAATGATGTTACAAATGAAGTGACAGTGGACATAATGTCTGCTGTAAATTACCCAGTCACCTCCGGTTCTAAAGAGACCAAGCAAACACAACTCAAAGCTGTTAACTGCCAATCAGGTAACAGGTTTTTATAACATGCAATGAGCTTCTCTCGTCAAAGATGCAATGCGACAAAATTTTATATTTTCACTTGTTTTAGTATGACTTTTTCATGTTTTTTTATTTGTTACAGAGTGCATTACAAACAAGCAATATGCTATACAGCAGAGTCATATGATTCAGATTGTGTCAGACCTAGCTAACCAAATGGCTGAAATCAATAGAAAATTGGATTTACCGTTAGCTAGGTCCGAAGAAACATTTTCACCAACAGATGACAATGCAGGTCTTTCAGAACTTTTGGCAAGTCTACCAGTAAAAGATATTGCAAGTTTTAATAATTTCGATGACCATTTAAAAATAAACAAGAATACAGGCAGGTATATACAGATAGGAAGAGAAAAGAAAAAGAAATGCGAGTTAAAACCAGGGGATAAAGTTTACATAAATAATTGTTTCAAAAAACTAAAAACACGCTTGTAGATAAACAGAATATCTTAAGACGAATCTAATGAGACCAAACTCGATATGTTGACTAAAAGGCAATCCAAGGTCCAATCTTAATATCCACTTTTTAGTCCCATCATCGGATCAGCTCGATGAAACCATAGTATTATATTGTCATATAAATGTACATTTAATTGTCAATTTTCATGATGTATCATCAGAAGTGCGTGTAATTCAGATTCTTAGACTCTATTACATAGATCGTTAAAAGACTTGCAAGTCAACCTAATAAAAGCGTGTTAAAAATATGACTAGAGAAAATAAATTGAGTTTGAATCGCGACATTACACACAGTAACTAAAAGTATAGGAGGATATTCAAATACATACAAAACTAAAAAAAAAAACAAAAAAAAAATAATAATAATAAGAGTACTAGGACAATGGAAAGTGATGGACCAGAATGAGGGTGATTAATCAGAAGCTAATAGTAATATTCTAGATATTGAAAATAGTAAAACAGTGAAGCAATAATGATCAAATGATTAAAACAAAGCGCCTAATAAAGAAGCGCCTCAAAAGTTAATTAAATAATAAATTGTATTTATTTCAAATTAAAACAAGGAAGGGATGTAGTGTATAGACATTTGTCTCGAGCGCATACGTCACAGCCCAGTCAGCGGTGGGGGCATTCGGCGTCCGACCGTGGTGCGGGCAGGTCGTGCTGTGTGCGTAGGCGAGCCAAATAATAATCTAATGGCGGAGATAAAGGTGTACAATACAGGTACTCATGTATTATACATATGTATAAAACAAAGTTGCTTTCGCTGTCTGTCCCTATATACATATGCTTAAATCTTTAAAACTATGCAACGGATTTTGATGCGGTTTTCAACAATAGTTAGAGGGATTTATGAGAAAGGTTTTTATATATAATAGAACCCCGTGCGAAGCCGGGGCGGGTCGCTAGTTATACATATAAACCTTCCTCATGAATCCCTCTAACTATTGTTGAAAACCGCATCAAAATCCGTTACGTAGTTTTAAAGATTTAAGCATACATAGGGACAGACAGACAGCGACAGCGACTTTCTTTTATACTACCTATGTACCTAGTGATTTACAAATTTTAGATGTGCTCCTTTCAGAATTTTAACTGATAACCCCTTCCCCTTATAGTAGTTTTTAAGGATTACTATAAATATATTTATTTCAGACATAGTTCATAATTTTGTTAGTAGTACAGAAACTTATACAATTAAATGTAAAATAATGTCTTAACCTGTGGTAAATATACTTGTTTCTTTTTGTTTCAGAGCAGAAACACAAAATAAAGAAAAAACCAATAGCGGCGACCATGAAACCGATTTTTTCTCATTTAAAGTAAGATAAGATAAAAGTATAAATAATAAAAAAATATATGTTATGTTTGTTGTTTTATTTAATGTCAAACATGCATATTCATTGCAAGTTTGTTAAGGCAAACTTACATATTATTTATAGAAGCAGACATAATGCAAGTTTGTTAAGGCAAACTTGCATATACTTTATAGAAACACATTAATGCAAGTTTGTCGCTCGGAAACTAGAAAGTTTGATTTAAACTTGCCTCAAGTTTACATACTTGCCATGGCAAATTTGAAACAAAGCTTCATTTTTGATACATCAAACTTACTGCAAGTCATATTCAAGTTTAAATTGTTATCTGGGCTGCTTAGTTCGCCGGGGCCAGCCACAATAAGAATAAGTAATGTAAGCCACGAGGTAGACAATAAAACACGTGTTGTAACTAAAAAAGCAGTTTTATCTGATCAAGTATGTACGACGACGTACCTACGTGTTACTTAGTTCGTAACTACGTTATTGTATTATTTTTATGACTAAGCAGCGGATGAGGAGTTGACGCAGTGTGATACCTCTCTGTAGGTAAAGTAAGTAGGTATACATAGGTGAAATGAATTTAAAAATAATGTATTCGACGATTACAATTGCAAATCAATCGTAAAATCGAATAACAAATCAAATACGCAATCGTATGACCATGACTATATTCTTCCTAACAGGTAATATTGAAAGGTTTAGGCGATGATAAATAAATTGATAATTTGTAGTATTTAATGAATATTATTTAAAAAACTTAAGGTAAGAAGTATACGAGGATAGGCTAGCTAGGTGCTTGCGCTCTTGCCGGGAGTCTAACGCTAACGACCGATCTCAGAAGCTTTAAAACTCTTACTCTTACCCTACACAAAGAGTAATTGACAGTCTCTAATTGACCTGTGGTTGGCTGGCAGAGAATGCCACCTGGCATTTAGTCCGCCACTGTACTAGGTACGAGTATAATTATGATGTGCAAAAAGTATAAAAAAATAAAACAAAGAAAACAATTACATAATTATTTTGTTTACTTACCTGGAGTAACTTCTGGTCTTAAGTTGACATAGTTGATGTTTATCAGCACATCTTGATCCAACTTTCTTGACATGAAGTCTGAAATAAAAATAATACTTTAGCAAAATTTTGAACTTATCTAAATACCTACCATACCATCACAACATTATATTATTTGGCACTTGTGTTTGTACTGTATTTCATGTTGTTAACCCATTAAATAAATAAATAAGTAATACTAGAAAATAGTAAAGGGAATGAGTGGAGTGGGAGTCCGTCAGGTTATAGTGGGGTATGATGCCCTGCCCTGGAGAACCCCACGTATAGCCCCACTAGCTGCCCCGTGACTGGTAGGTATACAAATTCATGTATTTTCCTGACGAAAAAAAAAATTTACGTACCAGCAAAAAACTCTATACTGACAGGGACTGTTTCACCCAGAGTTACAAAGCAAGGCGGCATCAGCTCACATCCTTCTATGTCGACCGAAGTCAGCTCGTATGCCGATCCTGAAAATTATTTTGCCAAGTGATGATATACAAAAAACTAAAATAATGTTACTAAAAAAAACATAATGCAATCAAGAATTATGATTATGAATTTTTTAAAAAAAAAAAAAAAGTAAAAAAAAAANCTCAAGTTTACATACTTGCCATGGCAAATTTGAAACAAAGCTTCATTTTTGATACATCAAACTTACTGCAAGTCATATTCAAGTTTAAATTGTTATCTGGGTATGATGATGGTGATGATTATAATGATAATGATGATGATGATGATGTTGATGATAGTGATGACGATGGAACTTCCCATCCCATTACAAGGTTTGCTATGTGGGGTGATAATGTCGTTAATACTTAGTTAAATTATGTTATGTAATTATTATTATTTCTCATTTCAGCCAATAGAGGCCACTGCTGGGCCTGCTCCTCTGATGCAGCAGCCAACCACCGGTGATTAGCAGCCGAGCGGCTTTCCCCAACAGACGTCGGTGTCAACATCTAGTCCTTAAGGTTACGGGACTATTCACCACCTCTCGTTCCCACCGCTGCGACTCCTGTGTAGCCAGGATCTACAGCTTGACCGCTGACAAAAACCCAACCAGTGAAGGTCAAGTTCGTCCCGGGGTAAAGTGAAACTGTCATTAGATCCCCAACGAAATTAATCAAAAGAAAGCATATTTAAGGTTAGTGTAAATTTCTATTTATTGCTTTTCCTAGCTTGTGTACAAACTTGGTGTTTCTTACTGCTTTGATTCTTGAAGTTTTTAAGTATACCTAAGTGGCTGGTATTGCTTACATAAAATAGTTAATAAATGACAATATTATTTTATAATGCCACCAATCAAACTGTCTTACATTTTACCCACTTTGCTTAGTTAGGGGCTTAATGATGCCGTGTGGTGAACTGTAGGCATACTGGTAATCGTCATCATCATCTTCATTTCAGCCATAGGACGTCCACTGCTAACATAGACCTCCCCCAATGCTTTCCATGTTGATCGATTGGTAACGGCCTGGTATACTGGTATGCCTGCCTATTATGTGTCACCATAGGGGTCATTCCTGGCAATAAGTGGTGACTGAGTTCGTTCCGGCGTTTCTTCTCAGCACTTGCCATATGTTTGTCTCGAAGCGCTGGTAGGGCCTAAAAGATAAGGAGACCATGTAAAGTGCCCCATAAGGGCTACCTTTTATTTTTTTATTTTTTTGACGTTAGTGCCACTTGTGGTCTAAACTGAATAAATGATTTTGATTTTGATTTTTTATCATTTCAGCTAGTTGCCCACTGCTGGGCTACGTTGGTCACGCAGCTGGTCTCCTCCGGGGACCCACAACCAAAAGCAAAGAGACTGGCTTCATCGGACGTCGCGGCGTCGGAATCAGCGTCTGATGCTTAAGGTTAGATAAACTCTTTGTGCCCTTTTAATACAATAATAAAAAAAAACTTTTTTAAAAACAAGCTTTGTCCTGTGTGCTTACCATGAGTTCACGTTAGGTGTGCTCGCTAGCGAGTACGTCAAAAAAATATATAAAGATTTTATTTTTTTAAAGTAGCCGCTAGGGGCGCTGCACAATATGTCATACATTTAATGTCATTTTTTTACGCAGTCGCTAGCGAGCTCACCTAACGTAAACTCATGGTAAGCAAGCACACTGAAATGCAGTTGAACTAAAACGAAAAAAATAATTGTATGCTTGGTTCAAAGAATTTCAAAGTCTTGTATCGCGTGTGAAATTGATTCCTCTTTTTTTATGTTTGCGCTACAAGCTTTCGATATTCTTTGAACCAAGCATACAATTTTTTTTTTCGTTTTAGTAGGTACAACCGCATTTCAGGAAAAAGCTTGATTTTAATAAAGTTTTTTTTATTATAATATTATTTAATCGTTGATGTTTTTACCCAATAATTATAACACTTTTTTTTGTTGCTTGAACATTTTTATGTAGGTACGAGTACTTAGGTATAAAGTTATAAGCTCGTGCATTCCATCGAATATTTTGTGCTCAAAATGT